ATAAAAAAGTAGCCTATAACATGCACGGCTATGTCGGCTACCCTACAGTGAAAGTCCGGTCGGAATCGGCCCAGCCGTTTCAAAGATTACACGGAACACTCGGCTTGCAGACAAACAGACAGAAAAAACAATTATATGCAATTTTCATTATCAACAACGCAAATACACCATCTTCCCAAAATCCGGAATTTTTCTTTTGACATTACAAACAGGCACTCCAATTTTATCATATGCATAGAAATGCGGTTGACTATAGCTCGGTTTTTACACGTTCCAACTTATTAGAATTTATTCCGTGCGTTGTTTATGAGTAGTGGTTAATCCGATAAGATAGAGTATGACATCACAGAGATACGCGAGCGCTGGCCAACCGTGTCAAGGTAATCGAATGTCATAAATCGTTTCCGTAGGCCGTAGGCTCCCGTCTTGTTCGAGATAGTAACTATCTGCATATACGTCACTTGTTACTGCCTGAATTCTGGTAGTGGCGTATTGGAAAGGAACCTATACCATTCTCATATTTAATTTGAACATCTAAATGTTGGCCAAGTACATAAACACTAGCTGTTGCTGGCGACTTCGCCTGCGTGGAATTAAAAATATAGCCTATGTTACTGACAGATAAATTACCTTTCTACCGGTGAAAAAATGTTAAAATCGTGCAGTATTTTTTGAGTTAATTAAATACAAAAATGCAAACCTTTCCTCTTTATAATATCAGTATAAATTAGACTAAACTTACGAGTTTTTAATAACGAGTTTTGGTGACAATTAGAGCGTGCGCCTGAAATTAAATTATCACAAACAGTTTTGTCTCGCTATGATTCCTGTGAGCTTATATGGAGGTGCACACTTTTTTTTTTATAAGAAAAGCGGGCAAACGAGCAACGGATCGCTTGATATTAAGTTATCCGACGCCCATGAACATCCGCAATGCCAAGGGTACTGCGCTGCCGGCCTTTAAGGGAGTAGTAAGCTCTTTTCTTGAAGGCCCCTAAGTCGTAACATTTTGGAAATACCGCTGAGGACAGAGTGTTCCACAACGCAACTGTACGAGGTAAGAATGTACGTGAAAACCTCGTCGTTATGGAATGCCAACCATCGAGTAAAGTACACACTACTTGATTTTTAGTTTCGCATCTAAACAGTTGAATGGGAAACAATCGACAATCGCACAACAGTTTATTTATACATTTTTATTTTTTTTATTTATTTATTTAATAACGAGAATATAGCATCTTTACAGAATAAATCTAATGTGACACTATATCTACATATGTGATCATACATAATATTTAAAGTAATAATAATAATATTTTAAGTTAAAAATACAATAAAAAACTGATAATGAAGAAAAAAAAATCAAATTGTACACAGAAATTAAAAAGAAGAATATAACAACATATGTCTAAGGCGTGCGCCCGCTATTAATGTAAAAGTTATTACTAAGCAGGAGGTAAGTTTGTCATTGCCGCAACCCTCTTTAGTCTTTATTTAACCGCTTAAACGTGCTGAGAACTCGATTAAAATATGTCGATTTAATTATTTTTAAGGGCGACTACGTTCTGGGATTTCATAATCAGTGAGGCGTAGTCGTAGGTAGGGTAGACACGTGTTACCGTAGGTGTTCGTTGCCGTGCGTCATTGCCTCGATAATGTTGCCGAGATAACGAGGCAGGTGGATGCGTCACGCATGTTGTAGCCATGCTAACAAGTTATTTTCGAACCAAAGGGCTACGTGAAAATTTAAGTGACACACGAATTAATATGCGTGACTTGCGATGTTACAAAATTATAGGAAGATAAACTAAAGGGATATTTCTACTTGTTTTTTATTGAATATTAAGTAATGGAGTATAGATTTAATGTCAATATTCGACTTTACCTCTATAAAATCCTTGTCACGATTACCAAATTACTTCATGTATATTTCACTCAACGAAAATGTTTGAAAGAACATTCCTTAGTTTTCTAGTAATTTACTATTTATCCGTTTTCGAATTATATCCATTAATCCAATTAGGCATTTCAATTCAATCAATTTAAAACATGTATCTACTAGTATTTGTTTGTAAAAAATAGCAGATTATGCTTAGAAAAAAAAATTAAGAACACACAATGCCCTTCTTTATAAATATTTTGACGCTCTTCCTAACATTATCATCCAAAATGTTTATTGGATTTCTTAGCGACGCTATCATTTAGTTTTAAATCAATGCATACTTTAATGGCTTTTAAAAATGCCATCGAGTTTAACTAATAATTTAAAACTCAAAATTTCATCTACATTTTGAGTTACGTTAAAATTCTAATCGCAGAATCGTGTCAGCTGAAATATTTAAGCGGATTTGAGAGACCTCTTAAACTGTCAGCCGTCACCTGCAGCGATCTACCATCGCTTGATGAAGAATGCTTAAAAACTGTAAGTGCTAAGCTATGATAAATGTTTTTTTCTAAAACAACCCTAAAATAGTTACAAAATCGCACAATGATCGCTACAATCAATGTTAGTTTTCGGTGGGTGTTCTAGTATTAAGAAAACTGAAATAAAGACACTTAAATTTTCTACTATAATCTAGTCCCTTTAAAAACAACAAAAATTATGACACGGCGTTCAAACAAAGCGGTACGTGACTCGAAACCTCTCGAACGATTAAGATTACGAAGTCTGCTGACACCATTTCTTAATGGAAGGACTTGCCTGGCCCTTACACTAGAGCGGCACTTTACCACGACCCTTGTTCCTTACAATTTTGTGCGCGACATTACTTTCGTGTGTGCACAAAGTTTTACTACAGAAGTGTCCTCGGAAGAATTTGTGTTTTGATAAAAGATCTCAGACAAATTTGCGATGAAAAGTCGGTAAAATATTGCTTTTTGTATTCTTTTACCGTTTTTGACGCGTTTTGCTACATTTTTCATAAAAAGTACGGACCAAAATTAAATATTTACATATTATAATTAATACTGCCACGTAATAAAGTAGCTCAGGTAGATGGTACAATTAAAAATAAAGTTTCTTTCCATTTAACAAGATATAGACAATTAACATTAGCAAATGCACACTCCTGTCATTTCGGAAAATTATGGAACTAATTTTAAGTGCCAGAGGAGAGGATTTTTATACTTGTGGTTTGGCTGTGCATTATTTGCTTTTTAAGAAAACATTCAGGTAATTGTAAATTAAAATCGTTCAAGGTTACCAGTCTTCAAAATGAATAATAAAAAGTTAATTAAAAATGTTTACTACTGGTACGGCGAATGCCAGAGCAATCAAGCAGCGAATTAACAATTAGCTAGAAGTGAAAATGCACTTAAATGATTTATACTAAGCGAATCGCAGTGTTGATGTGAACTTTCACAATGAAGATAATTTTGATTGTAAGTTTTAGGTGATTTTTACTGAGAAATAACAGACATTATCATCATCAATCCGAGAATTCCCTAATAAAGTATGACCTGCTCTTCCATAGGTCTCTATCAGCCGTCAAATCTTTATTTATTTCATTCTTAAGCATATCCTCTTTGACACAATCCAGACATAATTTCTTGGGTCTTCCTCTACCTTTGTAGCTACTCTTATTAAAGTTTAATACTTTCTTCTTTTTGCCCTCATCTTCTCTCGCATATGACCTTACAACGCTAACCTTTTAGTATAGCAAACATTATAAAGAGATAGAGAAGAGAATAACTAGTCTAACACAGATGTTTTAGTAAACATCATTCTTACAACAAAAGATGATTAAAATTAGTTAAAATTTTAGATGACTGTTCTAAGTCATATAAACACAAGCTTTTCCTCCAACACGACGAAGGAAAGTGTTAGAGTCATAAAGAAACCTGAGGCGAAGTATTACGTCGATAACTGGAAGGAATTTAAAATGCCTGAAGAAATAAATGAATCCAAACTGAAGGATATATTATCTGTAGCCGCTTCATTTAAAAGATTAGAAAAATGTCCATTCGGTGCTGATCAGTTTCATTATTGTGAAAAATTTAATATGGATAAAGTTTACGCTAAAATTATATCTGATGCTCTTCGAGTGGAAGTTACAACGGAGAATAAATTGAAAGGCGAAATGAATTGTACGAGTGTTTTAACAAATGGTACTTGTGGAACAAACACAACACAAACATTGAATAAAAAGGAGAAGAAAGGGTTAAGAAAGAAGAAAAAGATCAGACAAAAACATTAATATTACGTATTAAACGTATAATAGAGTAAATAAAAAATCACCTTTCAGTAATACTGACTGAAATACTACTTTTACTCGATATCCTAATATGTTTGTTTTAGTTTCGTAAACAGTAAAATTTTCGAACATACAGTTTTAGATTACAATTTTCGTTATAAAACATACAAGTTATAACAGCTGTTATGTTTCTGTCGATTGTTATAAAAATGGTTTATTATTTGTTATAGCCTAGCTCCAGCTATAAAACAGAGACCTTAAAACGAATTTTACAATTGTTATTCTCCAAAGCTGCAAAAGTCTACTTTCGAACACATTAACACAATTTCGTCTCGTTTACATTATTAAAATCATAAAAAACAACAATAAAGTTAAGTCGACGCTTTGTTATTTCGTCAGATGTAACTCGTAAATTAGGTATAAATAAAAGATCTAAGGAATAAGGAAAATGTTTCATGTTTAGTAACTTTCATAATTACTCGGATATAAATTTATTTAAAAATTAAAATCTTGATTCCAAGTGTCACTTATCATACATTCTTTTATCTACTCCATACCGAGTGAATACTTTTGGAGAAAATCGATGAGACCGCATGAATTACTCGATAAAAAGTGCTTTAAACCTAATATATTTGGCACGTAGTCGTTGAATGCAAAGTCAGGAAACCATTTATTGCAGATTTAGTTTAAGAAACGTGAAGATTTCGTAACAGAAATCTATACATTTTGACAGCTTAACTATTTGTTAAAAAACTCCAATTGCCAGTCCAAGTCTACTAACATTCAAGTAAGAACTAAATCACTTACCAGATATCCTTTTTATGTGTAACTGAGTTGCAAAGTTATTTCCCATTTGAGAAACATAGCTGTCCTTCTTGCTTGATAGTTGTATGCTGAAGCCGTCGGACTCCAGCGAGGCTCTAGGCGCACGAGCCGCCTGCACAGCCTTGTTGCAAACGGGCGTAGGCGCGACTTTAGCAAGCGCAGCTTCCTGCGAGCCCGTGCTATCACGACGTCTCCTCTTATGGTCAAGCAGCATGCTAGGCGTGCAACCCATGTTGTGACATTTGAACTCACTACACTACACTGACACTGTTTAACCGCATCACTTTGGTTTGATCTGTAACAAAAAACGTTTTATTATGATCGAAGTCTGCATGACTTTGCAAGATTGTGTTAAAGACAGGGGAACAATCATTTTAGACGTACTTAGAAGCATAAGAGCCTGCGTAGACTTTTGACTAATTTGTAGCACAATTGTTTAGTGTCGCTCAATTCCTGTGTGGAGTTATTTTGCGCAACTAAACAGTTGAATTGGCTACGAAACAATCGACAATCGCACAACAGCTGTCCGATAGTTAAGGTAAAGATGTGCCGCTCTAATAATGTTCAATTATTTTGTCTTCTTTTTCATAAGTAATGTTCGTTTTGACCTTGGTAACTAATTAAAATACACATTCAAATTGAATTGGCATACTACTTAGTAACATATTCCCTCAAGCACTAAGGGACTGACGAATGCTGTATTATTCAAAGTATTTAAGTTAATCGATAAGGATTTCCTTTAGTGAATGAAATAAATATTTAATTGATAAAACTGGTGGTGTAATTTTCGTTACTTACAGACAGATTCAGATGGTTCAACAGTAATTAAAGTAACCTGAACAATTCATGGAAATTTATTTTTAAATGTAGTTTTTGTGTGAGGTATAAATCTTAAATGGTAATTGTTTTTTTAATTAAAACAAAGAATATGAAAATGTAAATTTTAGTTAATTGTAGCTCATACTTATTTACATAGCACGAGACATTAGACATTCATCATTGTTGTCATGTTTCAAAAATAAAATAGTAAAATCAAGTGAATACAATTTTGCGGCAATTTGATTGACAGGAATTCGTTCGAGAAATTCAGCCGCGTCGCGTCGAATATTTTGACAATATGGAAATACCCAAATGTCAATCATCTGTCACAGTCAAAAATATTCTTTATTTAAATGTAAATTTCATGCGACGAATTGTAATTAGAATTACATTGTAACATAACAGATAATAAGTTTGGTTCTGCTAATTAGTTACAGTTGAGATGCTTTACAGTTATGGAAATATACAAGGGCGTTGGCTGCCGATAATCAAGGGGATTACATAAATAAAAACTTAAATTTATATTTCAAAGCCTTCATCAAGGTAAGGCCCAATTTTAATATAAAACTGGTGTAGAATCAATCAATCAAATCTTAGTATTTCATAGTTGCTTAGCCTCAGCTTCCTTTGATGACGCCCATGGAAAGTTATGTACTTTACGATTGCCGAGATTCTCTTATTTTAACGTATTGTCATCCCGCTTATTCTCCTACAAAAATCCGAGATAGCAATATGCATTGTACCACGTATAACGACAAACATGTGCTACGCCTAATGTGACCGAGAATATTAACTTTTTGCATCTTATTATATTATTAGTGCAGACATCTTATAGCTAACTTGAAATTATACTAAAATAATTAAAAGCTAAATAAAAGTTATCAGATTTCTGTAATTTTTGAACCTCTTTATGGAAAAAGGATAGATTTTTTCAAGAAAGATATCTTGAAGTTATACCCGTCCATGTTTGTGCAAAACTTTAAGGGATCACAAGGAACTTTTAGGATATACGACTTCAACTTAACTATTTCATTTTAGTTTGTAGTTCGGTATATCGTTGATAATTTCCGGCATGCGACTACCCAAACTGTTTTATGTTTCAATCTGCAATTGTAAATTTTGCCTTTAGTCATAGTATATTTTTGACAAATTCAATTTGAAGAGTTCAGATTCCTTTTTGAACTTTGTACTAATCTTCTTATACAAAAACGATGTAAATGTTGAAATCTTACTAATATTATAAATGCGTAAGTTTAGATCGATGGATGTTTGTTAGTTTGTAGCCTAAACGGCTGAAGGGATCTCGATTAAATTATGTAGAGGATAGTCTGGAAGAACACATAGGCTGCTAGATTTCGGTTTTTTTTCTTTTAGATAAAATGCGTACGGAGTTGCGGGCAAAAGCTAGTTAATACACGTTCATATACAAACATTTTAACAAGCCGTTATATAGCAATAAATGACATTCATTGTTGTTCGCTTAGTTCACTGGTTCTTGTAGATTAGAACGATACGATTTCCATGTCAATGTCTTCGATGACGTCAACGATTAATGGATCTTGGACTTACGCTAATTCCCTGTTGGATTGATGAGAAACGTAATGCACTAGGGGACATAATCGTTTTCGATGATTCGTATACGTCTTATTGAGTTATTGTAACACATTTTAAATGGTACAACTTCGGTGGTGGAATACACTACACCGTTCCAGAATATAGTATACTAGCTGTTCCCGTGTGACTTCATCCGCGCAAAATTATGAAAATTTTATTTTATTGTTTACATGTGTCAAATTATCAATTGCAAATGTCAAAATGACATGACATGATGACAAACCATGGCAACTTTGCTTCCTTGATGTTGGCAGCAACTTACGGTCTCTTTCCCACATTAGGGTTTTTATCCAAAATATTTTCCCCCTAAGTTTAATGGCGTTAAAATATATTGCCTAAAGCGTGACGTAAGTGTAGGGCTTTTTATTTTAAAAAAAATCTATAGAACTATGCTGTAATTGCTGACATCTTAGGCAACAAAGGAGTTGTTTTTACGCTTTATTATAGTAGTATAGATTACTATTAAAATTTGGTCGAACATTCCTAGCTGCCGCAGTGAAAATAAGAGTGCGCGGACTCCTTTGACTAAACTACATGATTTTTAGTTATGCAACTTAACTGTTGAATTGGCTGCTAAACAATCGACAATCGCACAACAGGGTCAACGCTCTAAGGGTTATTAAGAGTACGTACGCAGAAAACGGTACGTTGTAGTCTCTCTAATTATGAAACATAAATGTCATGTAAAATTACGAGATAATAAAAGTAAAATATAATACAAAAACATTTCTATTTTGAAAGTATATTTTGTAAAACTCTACATCGTCATCAAGGTTGCCTTTGTTCCTACATCATTTGTATCGGTTTCCTCGCCCGGGGCTCTGTCTCGACCCTTGTGCTACACGGCTACGGGCAACTCTCTGCCAAATTATAATTTCGTGAATATTATATGGTACATCACTAATGTAAGAGTCAGGCAAAAACTTTTCTCCATACTTATCAAGTTGTGATGAGTGTTTTAAAATGTTGGTCCTTCAAGCCGGATTGTTTATATTAATTTTTGTCTTATTTTTTAATTTAAAACTATCATGCACGTTAGAAATTAAACAAATTTTTAGCCGATTTTTTAGTAAAACAAATCTACCATTTTGTATTACTTTAAATTTGAAATTAAATCTGTTAAATCATGCATTAATAACCTTTTTTAGAAGACAAACGAGAAATTACCTAAAGTCATTACCAATATCGTCTAGACGTTAACTACTCCGCAATCAAACCTCTAAATACCTCAATAGAATTAATGTTAACTGCTTTGTAACTACGGGCTATAAACTTGTGGCTTGTAAAATTGGATACATCAAATATCGGCTGGGGCAATGTACTCAGGATTTATTACATTTAATACTGGACTGTAAACATAGATACAACGATAAACAGTATTCATAGATATTTGTAAATTAATGTCGATCCCTCAGCGGAGGCTAGAGAGACTTTGAATAGAAATTACAAATAGATTAATCAAATTTCAAAATTTCTATGTAGAAATGGTAATCTATATACTAATATAATAAAGCGTAAACACACGCTACTTGGCGGCGTAAAATGTCAGTAACCACGGCATACTTTTGAATAACTATTTTTTTAATAAGAACCTTATACTTACGACACGCTTTAGGCTAATTATTTTCACGCTATTAGACTTAGAGGGTGAATAAATTGGAAAAAACCTTAATTTGGGAAAGGGACCATAAACTACAAGCTACCAACATTAAGGTGGAAAGGTTAGCATGGTAACGGTAATTTTGACAATTGAGAATTTGACAAATGTAAACAATAAAATAAACTTTTTAATGTTTAATGCGGATGAAGCCGCAGGGAACAGCTAATTTTATGAATGAAGAATGTATCCAATGCTCTAACAGTAAACGATAATACGTTAAGAACACCACAAATTTGCCAAGAAATTAAAAAATATGTGCGAAGTCAAGGAATTTATACTAGGCTAGTGTAGTTGACTAAGGCCTTATTTCACTTAACTGGGCATGGGATCAAGACCCTCGGTAGAGACGTATGACATTCTTGTGACGGATTAAATGTATGAAACATTTGTTCTATCCATACATTTACTACAACTACTTCAATTTGAAATTAAATACAATTTTAAAACACTATAAAAGTCTCATTAAACTTCCTGTCAAGTAACAAACAATGCTCTTAAGAAACAAACACATGTTTATTGCTTTCAAGTTCCCACTTGAAGCGGAGTGTTGGAGCAGGGCTAATATACGATTAATTTCCAACTGTTAAATTGCTTCCGCCTCCACAATTCAACAGCAAATAGCGTTCGTGTTGCAGTTAATTTTACATCGTTGTCACTCGCACGCTGGATTAGCTAAATTAGTTTGTAATACAGAATAACACTATAAAATACATATAAAAAGTTTATAGTTTGGTACAAAGAGCTTGTAGTATTTGTATACTAGCTTTCGCCCGGGACTCCCTCGTCGTGGAATTACAAAAAACAAAAGCATGTTGTCCACACTATGCTGTACATGTGTGCCAAATTTCATCGACATTCGTTATCATTTAGGCTGTAAACTCGAACAAATCCATCCATCTATCTAAACTTTCGCATTATTGGTAAATAATTATAACTTCGGATCCGTCCCAGCTGCGCTAGGGTGGCAAAGAATATACATATGATTTCTGTTATCCATACTTTAATGCAAAATAAAGCCTATGTTACTCAATTATATTGTAGTTGTGTGTTTTTAACGGAAACAATTTTCTAAATCGGTTCAGTAGCTACGGAGCCTAATGAATCCAAAGAAATCTTTCCCCTTTATAATATAAGCAGAAATTTATAAAATATTATAGACGTGACTAAAACTATAGTATATATTACAAATTATCCTAATAAAT